TGAACATTTTAGATAGGGTATTTATAAAATTAAAACTAATTCAGAGTAAAAATTTGGTCAACACGTAAATTTCCTTGTCGTTTGAGCCTACCTACAAATTCTGCCCGTGGACGATTTGGACCGCCTCCTTCAGTGACGACGGGCAAAAATGATCCTCCCATAGGCTCAAAACATTTGCGTGCGATTGTACAAGCTGTCAATCATTCCTATTGGTCCACCTACAGCTTAGGGTTGGAAAACCCTACAAGTCCAGTCAGTTTTCCAGGTAGTTTTGCTCTCTTATTTTGGAAGCAAGTATACCTAATATTTTAATTTTTTGCCTATAGAGTCCATTATTGTACTTTCCATTTTCATTGTTTCTGGTATAACGTATGTATCAAAAAAAAAAAAATGAGAAAAAGTTTAAATTAATAATGAGAGGCCTCAACCTAATTTTATTTAAATTTCATATAGAACGCAGAAAAATGCCGATTTCTTAATTAATTATTATTAATAAGATAAAAGGTCGTTATCTTCAGTACGACGTAAAATTGTCTTCATAGGTCTTAACAACCTTTGGATTTCTTTAATTTTCTGGTAAATATTTCTTCTGAATTGACTTCCCAGCCAGTGTTAACTTTTCTACTCAATACGGCCTAAAGTTTTTCGATTGGTCGTTCTTTGGGCACAGTGGAGGGATTATGTTATTTTGGTACAAAATTTAAATTACCTCTTTCAGACCACAATCCCTGGCATAATGCAACTTGCTAAATCTAGCCAAAATATTACACCGTCGTTGTTATGATGTTCCCTTATAAAATTAACTAATAATTTTGGTAGGCATCGTTCAGTAAACACGCTGCATTGCCCAATTCATCTCTAAGACGGCCAATGAATGGTGCTGAAACGCCAGCCGGAGATATAGTACATCAAATCGAAATTTTATCTTCAAACTTTGGCTTCGTTTTAAATTTTACATTGTTTGGAGTTTCTTCGATATTGTTTGTATTGTTACATCGAACGGGTGATTAAAATCGGCGTGGGTTAAACTCAACAATTTATTTCTTGGCTGTGTTTTCTCGACACTCGTTGGACTCGGCTTGTTAACTGAATTCAACTTTCTTTGCCTGGACTACACTAACTGCTGCCGATGGTGGTTCTCATTTAAACAGCATGCGGTCCTTCTACGTCACCGCTTCTAGACTTATCGGGAGCACCCATTCGTCGTTACCTTTCATCTCTGAATTGGCAAACGTAAAATATTTTTCATTGTCCAGCACAACAACACGATGTTCGACGTTTAAATCTTTTGCGGTGTTTGAAGTCATTCTGGATATTTCTCTAGAAACTGTCATATGGGAAACTCTGAAAAATCTTCTTGTTGGTGTTTCAATCTTGTCTTTTAGCATTTTTTTTAATTTTTTTAGACTTCTTTCATTGAAAATTCGTGGCAGACCACGTTTTGGCAAATTAATACAACGTATTCCTTTCCCGCAGTCTTTAGTTGTTTTGTAATGGCGAAATATTTTTGGTCCTCAATATATTCATGGTTTCATTTTTAGGTATTCAATTTTGTACGACATTGTTTAAATTTAAATTTTTTGTCATATACACTCTTTCTAATGTTTTTAAGTAAAAGTTAAACCAGAGCATCTTCTCACTTATATCATTTCGGTTGAGAGAAGTTTGTTTATATATAAGATATACGTTATGTCTTGCTGGTTTTTCGGAAAAACTACTTGATTATCTGCAAAAAGGATTGTGTATATGAGGTGTCATCTACCCATATTCCCATGGGGTTGTATTTCCTTATTCACTGTTTCAAAGCGTTGGCGAGATAAATTAATTAAACAGGCTTGGGAAAGGGAAGGAGTCCTGTTTAATACTTTCTGTTTGAAAAGGTCTCCGAAATTTGATTTCCTAGTTTAATGACCGCTTGGTTGTCTCTATCTAATGTTTTTTTTATTTTTATTTATTTAAATGTAAAACAAAAAGTAATGAAAACCAGACAATGTAAAGTAAACGAACGAATAAAGGACCTCATAAACTTTGTTTTTCCATATATATATGGAAAGAGGTTTTCTACCGATTCGTTTTTAATTACATACTTATAAATGATAAATATACATATATAAACATCTTGATACCACTTATGGCATGGAAAATTTCTAAACTTCCAGCAACAAAATTCAGCACCTCAAAAGGATGCATTTAAAGACCCAATTAGAATGTTTTACATTATGATACATTGTTAAAACCAGTGTTATGTTTTTGTGTATGTTTTAAAGGAATCTAGCAAAGATTTGTTTGTATTTTTATTTTTCACTCGTATATAATGTTTGTTTTATATCCATGATTTGATAAACGTAAAGCGGCATTTTATATCCGGGGCACAATGAGCGGGCATAAAGAGTTATTACGCCCTCTCATTATGCCCTATTTTGCTAAACCGAATTAAACAAAAATTTAAAAAATTTATTGTTTATTTTTAACTACTTATTTATTTTTTGACAATTTATTTAATAACGAAGATACAAATTACAATTTACAAACTTGCTATTCATACCAAACTATTCAGGTAAACTTAAACTTTTCGGAGGTGCCTCTATTGGAATTATTTCTGCCACTGCTTCCATTCTGCTAGCACCGAATAACGTATTATATAAAAATCTTGAATTGTGTTCACTCATCCTCCAACTACCTTTACAGCATAAAACATTCGTATTTAAATTAATTACAATCATCAAAAAATAACTTAGTTTACCTTCTGAAGTAAATATCTGTTGTCGGAAGCATCTTTTAGAAATTGCATGAATTGTTCGCCAGCCAAAACTCGGGTTTTTTTTGCCACATAACCTTTCGGGTTTTTTATAGAAATATGTCAAACGATGATAATTAGAAATGTCTATGTTGTCGTTTACTCTTAAAGTTGTCTTGACCATCGAGTATTTTCACCATAAGGAACTGGGTGAATATTTTTCTGGCTAAAAATGAAGAACACAGTTAAATAATTATTTTATAAACAGAATAACTCACCAATTCTTGGAAGTAAGCCACTTCTTAATCTTCCAGTTAAGGAAAATTTTGTATTCTTTTTCATATATGTATCCTGATGTTCCAGGTAACACATTTTCATTGGCTTTTTGCGCTTTCTTCACAATGTTTTCTGGAATTTCACAATTTTCCTCATTCATTTCCGCGGTCGAAAATATACGTGTTGACACCGTGAATAGACGCCGTGTTTGCAATAAACATAGAATCTCCTTGACAACAAAATCAACGCCACGTAATTTTTTTTTTTTACGAATTAATTATATAAATTAGTCTTTTTTTTAGATTTTCTCGTGAAAAATATAAGTTTGTATGCACCACGGGCACAACTTGATGTTTATAAATCTCGGGCAACTTACAAAATCTCGGGCCAGAGGCCCTCGATTTTGTAAACGTTGCCCTCGAATATAAACATCTTCTTTGTGCCCTTGGTACATAAATAACTATTATAGCGCAGGGCGTTCATAACCAAATACTTCAAATTTATATAAAAGATATATTTTTATGCCGTTGTCAACTAATTTTGTCATTCCTCCCTCCACTTTTAGACATTTTTTTTTGTCTTGTTTTCCTGTACCACTTTTTTCATTACTGCATGTGATTTTTTACATATAAAGACTGCTACTATTACAATAATATACGAAGTATAACTAAGATACATATATAAACGAATATAGTTTTGTTTTTAACATGAATCCACCTATTGATAGGTTATGCTATATCCTTTTTTATTAATAGACACTTTTAGAGTTTGTGAGGGGGTTTTAGGCTCATCTGTATTAGTTTCTTTAATTCGTACTCATGGTAATGATTATTTTCAAATTTTTATTTAATAATTTAATAATTATGATAAAATTTTTATTTTCTTTAGTTTTTATGATTCCTTTATCTTTTTTTTTATTTTTGGTTAAATCAGGTGGTTTGGTTTATTGTTAGTTTATTTTTCTTGTTTGGATTTGTTTCTGTTGGCTTATTTTCTAGAGTTTCTTTAAAGAATTAAGAAAAAACAGATTATTATGTTTCTAATACTGATATTGATTTAAAAAATATTGCGTAATAGGGAATTTTTGTTTGAATCATGAAAGTTTTAATATACATGGCAGATTATTAATTACTGATTTAATTAAAACTGTAATTAATTCGACAATAATTGCTGCCTAATACGTTCGTCTAATATGTATGTAATAGAGGTTTAATGGAAACGCCACTAAGTTGTACTTACTAATAATAAATATATAGGTTTAAAATATATTAACAATTTTCAAAAAACCAATTATCGTTTTTAAATTGTTTAAAAATATATTCCTCAATTTTTGAGCAAAATTTATACGCCTTTAGAACACATCTTAAAAAAAATTTATTCGGATAACATATTCATGAAAAGAATAATCGCAACTGAACATAAGCTGGGATGTTTTTAATCTACGTCAGAAATCTTGTTTACTTAATAAATAATTTACACTAAATTTAAAGTGTCTTTACAGGAAGGGGTATAGTTCTATAGCAAAGATTGTTTTGAAATTAGTAATAAATATCAACATAATTCATTCAAAATAATAAATGTTAAAATAGTAATATCAAATAGTAAAAAAATATTAGTGTAAATTTTTAACGTTACGTAAGGGAAGCCATTAACTCTTGTTTCACCTATACTCATTTACATGTTTTTAATTTTGTTTATTTATAAATCTATAATAATATAATATTAAAAAAGTATATAATATAATATGAAAAACGTGCTGACAAAGCATACAAAACAAATACATTTTCAGTTCTTCGGTAAGCACCGACTACCAGTCTATTTGTCTACCGTAAATAAATTAAGTACTTAAACAATACGAATTTCTGGTTTAATACTCGCTAGTACGTAAATATTTGCAAATATTCACCTCTTTTAACCATGAAATTAATCTTGCAATGAAAATTGTAGGTCATCATATTGTATTTACCTACCTGTTTGTCTCTTTCAGCCGTCGAAGAAACGGTGGAAATGGTAAAGGGCATCGGAGGAAAGGCTTATGGTTTCAAATGTGACCTCGCTAACAAAGACGACGTGTATAAAATCGCAAATGTAACTCGACAAGAGGTCGGTGAGGTAAGTACTTATTTATGTGCGAAATAGGAAATAGTGTCAAAGACAAATTTACATTGTAACATCGAGTCAATAATTGTATTTTTCCTTGTTAACGAGGTTAAATAAATCATCAATAATTACTGATGAATAATAAGTAACACATTGAAAAATTTACAGGTGACTATTCTAATAAACAATGCAGGAGTGGTTTCTGGAAATTTGCTTTTGGATACACCGGATCACCTGATTAAGCGTACATTTGATGTCAATATATTGGCACATTTTTGGGTAAGTGTTTGCTGAGTCTACTTGGTTTTAATAGAATTATGCTTGTTAATAAAAAGTCTATTGTAAAATTTGTACAATTATAGAAACTAATCATAATTTAACTATTCCAATTTGCTGAAAACAAAGTCTTTTCATCCACTGTTTTATTTTAATTACGGGAGGGGCGTTTAGGAAATTGAGGCTCATACGGCTTCGTAGCTGTAAATTGTAAGTGTCACAACATACTGTTCCACAAGTCAGTTTTTTATTTGTGGACAATTTCCTTTATCTAACCTGAACTGATTTTCCATGATAGTAGCAAGCCAAAGTGATTCTCTAATAAATATTGAGCATCTTTGTTTAAACGAAACAATCTTAATAACGAGAAATTGGGAATTTCAGACGGATTTGCAGCAACTCGTAAATGTCGGTGAGCAAGACAAAACTGACATCTACAATTTTTTCCCAGTTTATTAAACACAGCAAAGTAAAAATACATGATTGGTTGTGGTACCTTTGCCATCTTTCTTTGTTTCGAATTAGCAAACAACCTGTCACTGCAATGTTTTTTGGACATTAAAATGAGAGTCAAGGCATTCCTTTAAGTTATAACTTTAACAGTAGATTTCAACAAGAGTTTTTATAAAATTTGACGCGATTTGCATCTGCAGAATACATGGGAATTCGGTAGAAAGACAGACAAGGAGTGGAACCAGAAAAATGACCCGGAAGAAGAGATAAGCTTTAATCAGTCAGAGCCACTGTAAATTTGGAAGTTCATTAAAAAAACTTGGACAGAAATTTAAAATCGACAAAAAGTATTGTTACGATGATCGGTAATTAAAAGCGGCGTGGGTAAAACTCAACAATGTATTTCACAATAATACAAAACTATACGACTAACTCTACAGGGATTATGTATAGAATAATTCCGATTCAAGTTAACTCGTTCCGTTAGTAATCCACTGTAATGGATTTGACTAGACAATAATTCTCTGACTGACTGGACTAGACTAAACTGCCTCTGACAGTGGTCCCTTTTTAAACAGGCGTACATTTCTTCTGGAAAGATCGCGAACGCCGCTTTCGAGGGTGTTCTGGAATCCACCATTGAGACTTCCCGCGACTCCGGTGGACCCCTTCCAGGCTTTTCTTTATTCGAGTGGCGCCGTTACCGATGATGAGTTACTGCGCCATACATACTAGAAAACCCATAGGCGTCGTAGCGAGGCGACGTCTGCGTTTACGCCGTAACGGTATGCTAGTAACATATTAATGGAGAATAAATTCATACTTTCAAAGTAAAAATCGGCTTTCATATATCCAGAAAGACAAAAATTGGAACAAACAAAAGCAAAAATGAAATATCTCTTAATCATTACGCAGCCAACGTAATTGCATTGCATATAATGAATTCAGTTTATTTCTAAGCAGAAAAATGTTCCGAACGTTCCTCAACTGCAACCAATTGAACGCTTTTGGGGAAATCCAAAGAGGAATTTATATGAAATTTGGTGTGAAGCTTCCAGAAATGTACACTTCAGCGGTGTATATTGCTGAAAATCTGGCAGACAATAATGTCGGCCTTCACAAATTTAACGCGCCGTGTTAAAAGAAAAATTCTGAGAGATACATTGAACAATAAAGTTAAGTTAGTTTGACTCTTATGCATTTTTTCCCACACTCCAATTTAGGGTAATATGTCTGAAAATAATTTTAAAGCACGTTTGAATGAAACTGATCGTATAATGGTTCTGCATTAATGTACAAACACGATTTAATACTTTGATGAATATTCGTAACTTCATTAATTACTGTTTTAGTAGTTAAAATTAACTAACTATTTAAACTGCGTATTTAGCGTGCAAACGTAAAAGCCCACTAGATTTATTAAAATTAAAACTAGTATAGTGAAATTGACAAAAAATTGAGGATAATAAATATAATTCACCACTTAGTTCAGCACTTTACAGTTTAGATTTTTTTATTTCAAAAAATAATTTGAATAAATTTTACTTACTTACAGGTTTGCTACCATTACCTATTTACAAATTTTACACCTTTTCATACATAAAAATAACAAATCAAAATTTTGATAATATTCGAACAAATGCAATACTGCCCAAGTGCCCACAATGTTTTTATTTGCTTCGGTACGCAAAACACTAGATACAATAATTTAAAATCTTCAATAATAATGGTTATATCACGAAAATTACAAGAAAAACGAAACATTAAAAATTTACAATGATTTAAAATTAAGCCTAACGAAACTCGCCGAATCATTTTTCGTGATTATTTCTTTCTTTTTTTAATAAGTTATGGTCTAGTTAACAATATCTAAAACTAAAATTTCATATATTTGATTTATTTGATTAAATAAAAATAATAATACTAGGTTGTTTTTCAAATAAACTTGTGAATTTATTTTGATACTTCCATATAATTTTTATTTATTATGTTGGGAGCAGTCGCTCATCAACCACATAACGTGTAGGTATTCAAACTTCAAAGAAGACCGATTCGTATAATTACAAGGTCAAATTTTATAGATGATGATTCTTGTAGTTAGCTAGTGTTATTAATTGTGTTTGCTTCAATTATGTCCAGTTACGGTCCAAATTCTAATTCCCGTTAAAAACATTATTTAATTTATTTAATTTACATAATAGGTTTCGGCAGTTACTAAGATTTAAGTTTAGAGTAGATATCCGGAATCCAATTTTTGTTTTGTTTTTTACTGTATGTCGTACACAAACTACTTACTTTCGTTTTTAAAAAGAATATAAAATAATTTATAATTAAACATTCCTGATGCTCATTTCATTAATTTTTTTATTTATATGTTTTAAATTTCCTGGCGTGATCACCGATTATTATTTATCCACATACTACTTGAAAAGTTAGCTTCACTACTCTGACGTAGTTGTGCTAACTTACCCCGATCAACATGAACAGATTGTTCGAGAAATTTATTTACAAACAATATGATATATTGTTAACAGAATAACTTTTTTAATTTTGTCTACTTCAACTACATTGGAAGTAACTGAAGGGAGAATTGAAAGCACTACCTTCATTTCCATCGGAAACTCCAGGTATTTAAAAATTTTGTTTTGATAAGTTTGTTTCAATTGACTTGTGTTAGGAATAGCAGTGTCGATGAGAATGGCTTCCTTGATGTGTTTCTTTATAAGTGTGATATTTGGTCTTGTGGCGACACAATAATAAGTCGTAGTAAGCGCAGAAAGATAAGCCGCTCCGTGATCTAGTGGTAAGGGCACCTGCCCGGCAAGCGAGTAACGTGTGGTTCAATTCCCACCGGGGCAGCAACATTTTTCTTCGCTTACCTACAGTCTGTTAACTATAAAAATGTTGTGTGGATTTCATTATAATTTGTAATCTAGTTTCAAGGAATAGTATAATAGGATAGGTTACCATATTTTAGATAAAATTCTAAATTGTAGTTAATTTTCTACGTTATGCTGAGCTTTGTATTCATTTCATAACAAAATCGAAACCAATAATTTGTGTTACTCTTGGATCATTGTTTGCAGCAATTTTTTGTGTGGATTACTTGTTGAATCGTAAACAAGAAACCTGCCGTCTCGACGTTCATCGGTTTTCTTCAACTAAATCAATAACATTTTGTTGTCAACGTGCGTTCGTTTTTATTTCAACCCAATAAGTAAGGCGTGTCCATGAATAACTCTAGGACCAAGGGCGGTTTTTATAGTAATAAGGAGACAACATTTTTAATAAAAGACATTTCAGAACTGCTCTTGGTACCTGAATCAGTTGTGTCCACGTTGTATCATATGGTTGAGAAAAAAAGTGGTTTAGTAACCAAGGAAATTTAATGTTAAAAAAAATACTAACCAACCCGTTCCTTGCCCCGTTTGATGGTCAAATAACTGTCAAAGAAAAGGTCAAGTGGTTGCAATGCCACGTCATTATTTTAAAAATAAGTTTCATGACCTACTAAACGACTTCTTTTTCGAGCATGTGGCATTGTCCGATCTTTGTGACGTGTGCATTTCCGGTACTATACAGCTTCAAAGGGGTGTGAATCAAATGCTCGTATTAGGGTTATGATTATTATAAATTATTATTATTATTATTAGATCTGATTTAATGGTTTATACATCCGTGTCTTCAAAAACGCCATTGAAAATCAGCGAATCTTCTATACTTCAAAAATTTTGAAGAATTGAATCAAAATTTTTTTATAATGGATGTACTATAAATTTCTGTTTCATTTTCTTGCTTGTTCGCAAACGACGGACGGAATCTATGACTAATTTTTCTTTATAACTGAATAATCCTCTAATGCATGCCTTTCGTTCCTTCGTTAAAACTTTGTTAATACATTTTTTGTGTTATGCATATCAATGTCTTATACGTAAACATTAGTAAACATGTAATACTTAGATCTGTATTTTGATTTTGATTTGTTGTTTCGTTATTATAAGGGTTTTGGAAGAAACTGATTTCAGTGTAGCAAATGAATGTGTACTTTGATGAGCTTTAAAATTGAAAGATGAGGTAGGTAACCGACATTGAAATATTCTTTGATTATATTTGCGATAAATAAAAGGAGTAATAAATGAAAATATTATATTAATAAAAATTTAAAGTACTTCAAATAATAATAATAGTGTAATGTATATTTATTTGCATTATCAGTAAAAAATGTCTTTTGAATATAATAATTGTTAAAATTATTTAATTGTAGCCCGTGCGATGTTACAGACGTAACGACAACTTCAGTTTTTTTAACGTGCATGTATTTTTTAGCAGATGTAGTTAAAAGTAGGATGAAATGATTTAATGTTTAACCAGGCAATTTTTTTTGGACCAATTAGTTTGATTTTAGATCTTGTGAAAGAATTGCTCAAATTGTCTCTGGTGAGAACTCTGATATGATTATTATTTTTGTCGATATTAGAACACATTTAGCATTCGACAAATTGCCGACAAAATATCTAAAAAAAAGAAAAAATAAATTACAAATATTACGATGATTGCTACACATTCACAGTGCTAAATATAAAATCTCCATTATGGAATTTTTTTGCATCGTCCTACGTCACCTGAAATAATTACCGGACTATGATAAAGGTGTAATTCTTACATGATAATTACTTCTAGATATAATTATGGTACTGCCAGACAAGGCAGTTACGTGTTATTTTGTGCTAGTAGATTTACGTTCACTGTTTAACCTTCTATTTCCCATTTAACTTCTTTACATGTTTGCCCCGAACTACTAACCACGCGATAAACAGAAAATTATCTTCTGTAATAGTTAGTAACGAAGAACTACTTCAGTTAGAGTATAGATTTTTATACGCTTAGGGTTGATTTACGCATACCTACATGACGAAACACAAACAGGATTCTCTTTTTACGATATTTATCACCTTGAAATATGATTTTTAGTCAGGTGTATTACTAGGTATTCGTTTTAATTGTGACCTTTTTATTATTTATTTATATACTGAAAGTAAATCAACAAAACAGGCAACAATGGACAGTTTATTTTTAACACAAATGTGTCTACCTTTTTTTCAGACCGTGAAAGCTTTCCTACCTTATATGATTGAAAAGAATCGTGGACATATTGTCACCATAGCGTCAATGGCTGGCTTTGTTGGTATTAACAAACTAGTGGATTATTGTTCATCCAAATATGCAGCAGTAGGATTTGATGAAGCCCTCAGAGTTGAACTCGAAGCCCAGGGAATCGATGGAGTTAAAACAACAGTCATTTGTCCGTATTTTATTCAATCGACAGGAATGTTCGATAACGTAAATTCAAGATTCTTGCCAACCCTCAAATCAAACGATGTAGCCGATCGGATAGTGAATGCAGTGAGAAAAGAAGAAGTCGTTGTGATGATGCCCAAGATATTTAGGGCTGCACTTATATGCAAGTTGTAAGTCTGTTATACTAACGTTAGATTTTATAAATTAAAAAAATGAAAGTGCATTGTGGTGTTCCCGTAATTACAAAAGTAGATTATTGCATAATAATATGAAGCAATGTTGAGGTGATTATTTGAAACAAGAGAGGTTTCGTCTAACGTAATGTAATGTTTGAAGTTACTCACGTGCTAGCAAAAAGTCATTAAGTGTTTACATGTAAAGTGGTTAAGAAGCCACTTTACATGCGGAACCCATTAAGCAGAAAATGAATTACACTTGTGTACTTTTGTGCAGCAAGTAAATCTTGAATAATTTATGTGTTTAAATACCGCTTTCAATTATTAATAAATCTCAATCATCTCCCATTTTCGCTTTTCGCGATGCGCGATTTCAAAATACTCAAACATGTTATTCATTCGAAGAGTGTTGACACAACTATGCTGTGAGGTAGGGAAAGTGGGTCTCTCTAACGCACAACTCTGTTCTATAAAATTTACATTTAGTTTTGTTGTTATTTTGCCGTAAATTTTCGGTGATGTAACCAAAAAATTCAACGGTGCATTAAAAAAAAACTGAATTTTAGAAAGTTTGGACATGCGTAGGAAATATTTAATTGATTATTGTTATTATTAACTGTTGCACATCCACTGTTTTTTCGATAAAATAACAAATCTCTGAATTCATTCATTCCGAAGACCTTGTGTTTCGTGTTTTCCTTCATAAATTTAGAGAACCTTATTTTAGCATACGATTGCGATACGGATCGCAAATTATTGTTTTACCATGGCCGACTAGTATAAAGATTATGGCCTGTCCAAGAGGTACCATACGTGTTGCCATCTATTAATAATTACACTTAATAATTTAGCAAAATTTTAATTTGATTTGACATTATGAGATTTCAAAACGTGTAATGGTCGTTTGTTTCGGTATGAATGCCTTTGTGCCTTTCAAAAAGTGTTAATAATTCTTTTATCGTTTTTGAATTATTAATAGATGGCAGCACGTATGGTACCTTTGAACAGGCCATAATCTTTATACTAGTCGGCCATGGTTTTACTAGCCAAACTGTCAGGTTAGTTGCTAAGCATAGTTGTTGATCTCCAAACCACAACTGTGGGAATGCCTTTTTTTTAGGTTTCTGTCTTCCTTTTTGTTACACACTTATTAGACAAATAATTTCAAAACTAAACACTAAACTGAGTTTTTTTTTGATGAGTTTATTGTCATCTTTTTTTTTAGCATTTGGGTGAAGTTTTTCATCACCTATCTTTAAAAATTAAAATCTCAATTATTTATGGAAAATTCGGAGATTACTACTCTTGCGTTGTACAGAGAAAGTTGTTACCATATTATATTAAGTACGTTAATAATGCAGATACTTACTACATATATTTTAAAAATGTATGTATGTATGGGAAGAAGCAGAGACCTGCTGACAAAGTTTTCAGTATTATCAGCATAATTATGTGTCTTTGGTCGACTAAAACCAGAACAAATTTGCAAATATTGTTTTATTTTACCTAATTAAACAGTGTTCTTATTTATTATTATTATTAACTACATCCTAACGGATAAATCCAATTATTATTAGAGTAATAAAGTTCTCAAATTTACAAAATGAAAATTAAAATAATAAACCTTTTATATTTCCGGTATTTCAGTTGGGTAAATCAAAAGAGCGGCTGTAGTTGTAATATTGGTACATTCTATAGTTTATAGTTTATAATGATAGTAATCAGTAATCACTAATCACCTTATCGACTTTATTGCAACTTTGTACCGACTTATTTTTTTCTTTTTCAGCATGTTTCCTTGGGCTTGCGTTTCAATGTTTTTAAGAGGACTAGTGCCGGATGCAGCTCCGCCTCATCAGTCTCATGTCCAAAATAGTGAAAAAAGTGATTTTAATACCAAATCGAACTTAATTAAGAATTCTGTAGTTTCTTTAGACAATCGTGATGGAATTAGCGGAAAAAATCTTTAGTGATTTTTTTTATAATTAGATAATATTTTAGATGTTTTTATGTGTTGAGAGGTTACAGTTTTATTTATGAAAATAAAATTTTCGCTTATATATATAGCAACTTTGTAGATGTTCTTTTTTATACAGTAAACGGCCTTGGATCTTTTAATAGGTCGATAGAAAGAGCCACTGACTTAGCCCCAGAGATAAAAAATTCCATGCTCTTTTTACATAGATAAACTGGTTTTGATTTTGCAGTATTACAATTTTGGAATTTTATGATCTTATTATGAAATTCATTGTTGGTCGTTTCACTTTTTGGTCATCTTGATCTTGGTTTTCTATGTTTTTTTTTTCTATTATTTTTTATTTTATTACCTTTTGAAGGAACGTTCCAGTTTTTTGTTAACTTTTGTTGGATTGTTTCATGATACATACTTTGGTGTGGGGGTGATAATGATCACTGGGCGGAAAAATATCTTACGGATGCAATTCCCCAGTTGAAGCAAGGTGTGTTTTACGGCGAGTAGCGGGGACGCTTTGATCTGGTCCACAAGGTCGTAGCCAGTGCGTCGCTTGGAGTGTTTACAGCTTGTTAAAAAACTACTTCTATATTACTATATTACTTCAAATAAAAATACTCGATGCCCTTTTTAATTTTTCAAACACATGACCACAGATTTGTGATCTTGAAATGTTATATTATGTTGATATAGTCCAAAAGAAAAATATATTTGTAATCAAACTATCGCCGCGACAGCACTGGATCGAGCGTATGAAACACAATTCCGCGCGTTGATAATGATAGGTAATCTGCCCGATTAGCGTTTATTTACAATATGTACATTAGTGAACGACTAACAACACAATGTTCTTCCTTGGCGCGCGGGAACCGACTGCCGTCTTTTCTTCCCTCCAAGGGCCTTGTTGCGTGTTGTCACTTCCCGTGAATTTGAAAGTTTACCGCCACACATTCCTTTTTCGGAATTGTACGATAAGGCTGCACCGTAACACCTGGTCGTATAGCCACCCTTTAAAGAAACATTCACCCTTTTGCCGCCAACAAACTTACTGATTACAGAATTATAACACTCCAATAAGTTGTTGGTAACATTGTGTAATAAACTCCACGCATTATCTGCCACTCTTTTATTTCGAAACAAAATTTCATCAAAAAATCCATTATCCATCCACAGTGGGATAAGGTTTTGTTCTCCAGCCTCCACTTTTTTTTGTACAGATTCTTCAGTACAAAAAGAATGTTCACTAATATTACAAAAAGTGTGATCTCCAAAGGTATGTTTGGGACCATTTTCGATTTCTTGTTGTAACATTAGTACTCTCTCTTCGAATAAATGATTTTTATTTTTTGTCCAAAATGAAATAGATGAGTTCACTGCCATGCGCAACTTTTCTATTTTCGCGCTTAGAATGTCTCGTTGCTTTTTCATATATTTGGTATTATTTTTTAGTTCCGTTAATTTAGATACGTAATTGCGAATAATATAATTTTTACTTTCAATTTTTTGAATATGAAATTGTGGGCCATACGGAGATGATGACAGTAATTTATGGTAAACACTAATGTTTCCGTCGGCTATTATTTTGCCATAAATTAGGCCATACAAAGCAACTGATTTCCTAAACCCTTCTAAAATAACGTCTGCTTCCATAGCGGTAGAAGTGCCTTTATAATTTTTAGGTAGGACCTCTTACTCCACGCACCGTCTGCTGTTATAGCAATAATCGGTATTCCATTTTCATTGACATCACCACATTCTACTGCTAATCGAGCTTCTTCTCTTGCAGCTTCTACCATTGTTCCCCAAGAGCTTTCCTCTATACTTTGGGATACTGTTTGATGATGTTTCTGGAAAGTATCAGGAGCCATAAATGGTACATCCACAGAAGAGAAAAGTTCATTTGTTTGTGTGTAACCATTGCCAGTAGAAACGCAGCCAGAAACCGCAAGCACATTTAATTCATTTTTTTTCCGGTTCAGTATAAATTTTTTCAGTTATTCCGCAAACTTCACATTTAAAAAAAAAATACGCTTCCTAGTCCTATTCGTTGTTCAGAAGATATTTGCATAAGGTTTTTTATTTGCTCAAATAAATATGAAATTGAAACAATTCTTCTACCAGTGGCAATAAAAAGTGTATCTTTTACATTAGGTATTACTACATGAAGTGCGCTTCTGTTCTGTTTCTACATCTACATCTGCCTCGTTATTCCAAACATCAACTTCTTTGTTAGGGGGTGTATCAAACAAATTGTGACTTTTATTTTCAGATTGTTCTTCTGTTGCACTCGACGATTGAGGTAAAATTTCTTTGAATTCTTGGAGAGATGCGGTCTTCATTTTAACCAATATAAATAAAACAATACGTATAAGAATAAGTGTAATTACCTTAGTTATTCATACAATGCATTTTTTTAATTCTAACCTTAGGGATTTACGAGATAAAAACTTTGAGTTGTGTTAATAAGTTTCCTACCAGAAATTTTCACGTGAAAATTGGCAGAATATAAAATAAAAGAAAAAAAGGCACTATATAATAAAAACATAATTTATTTTCACTCAGGCAAAAATTAAGTCAAGTTGCATATTTTAGCTTTAATTAAAGATTAAACTTACCTACTATTCTTTGAGATTACTCTTCGACTTTTTCTGCTTACACTAAGAGACTTCTTTTTTAAACTATGATTTTCCATAGTGAAACACAAATATACAAACAAAAACACAAACACAAAACACAAGGTAGTCTAACTTGAAAAGTTCAAACGAAACTAAGAAATTCTCTTCATTTGGAACAGTATTTATACCCTTCAGTAAACTAATCCGATAATGCTAATAGCAAATTCTTAGAAGAAACATTTAGTAGGTAACTCTTATCTTAGGGTTTTCAGTTTTCATAATCCGCACAATTATAATTTATATTCATCTAAGTTTAAAATTATTCATCAAAATTCAAAACCCTAATACCATTTCTTTCTGTATATTACCGATCGTATCAAATCCTTCTTATTTAAAGGGTAGTAATAAAACGCTCGGTATTTATTTGAGATTTGCTCAGAAAAAAAAAATTATGATCAGTATTTAACAGATTTTCACACAGTTTAAAAAAGAAATTGATTTATAAATAAATGTAATTTGCATAGTTATAAAATCAGTCACGATTAATTAAAACTGCACAGTATTTTCTAATTTATTGCACAATTTTCGGTACTCAGTTTAAAATAATAAACGCAGTCTTTTTTCATTTTGCAAAGTAGGTGGAGTAGGTTTCACCACTTCTTGATGTCGCTTGTATAAAATGTTTTGAACTTATTAAGTCCCTTACCCACATTTTTTCCATCTGAATCACAACGAAGGATGACATTTGAAAATAAGTTGGTATAACCAAAAAACTAGGGTAAGCCTAACCCAGTACCTACAGATTAGATATTACGCAGGTAAGTATTTGTGTTTAATAATTAGCATTATGAAAAAAAATTATTAAACTCCAGTCCAAATTTAAGATACTGTTATTTCATTACTAAATAAGTAGTATCTGTAAAATATACTGAGGATGTATTTATTTAATTAACATTTACAATTTTTATACTTAGCAAGTAGGGTTCTTACTAAGCATTCCTTATTTAACCGAACAGTTATTAATTTAACTAAGCAGCTATTATTTCACCAAACCACGGAGGTAGAAGAGACCGGAGGGAAGGTGTCGTGAATTTTGTGACACAGACTCAGGCACCGTTTATGACCCTACTTGAAATGCGCGCTGTGCTAAGCTCCACCCTCTAAATGTTTAGCAGTCGTAACCAGTGGCGCGGCAACATATTTTATGTTGAGTACCTTATATATAAGTCTCTAAATGTTATTATGATCAAAGTCTATTCAAATTAAAAACACCAACAACACGTCCAAAACTAAAACAGCACAACTAAACTCCAACTCAAGAACGAACAATTGCTTATAAACAGCACGTGTTACGTGATAGTACGCTACTGGAAATCCAAACCCTGTCAGCTGTTGAGTGTAGGGGCGCGTTTGCGTCGGGCTGGCAAATATTGGCGCATTATTCAAATAAGATCATAACCGGTGTCTGACCGGGTCTTGAACGATGCCAGAATCGTTACATTGCTAGCATACGGTACGCTCCCTCCGGTCTCTTCTACCTCCGTGCACCAAACATATATTATTTTTACTGAGAATTTACTTTTTAACTGAGCATTTATTATATAACTTAGCATTTATCATTTTTACCGAACAAAAATACAGAGCGTTTAAAAATAGAACTGTGCATTTAATTTGTTCCCTTATCTAAATAACAAGAAAACGGTATCAATAATACATTTAGGCAAATAAACTACGAGTTGGCTTGTTAAGCCTTGTTTGCTCTACAGTGTCCAAATTGTGTTTGAATAATATAATAATTATCTCGAATATTAAAATTAATATTTCAAAAGAATAGGGGAAATGATTATTCTGTGCTGAAAGTATGTTGTGGGCCGCCTGTCATAAATTATCATTATTCTTCATTATCGGCTTACGATGTTTTTATGACCCACGTCCGGTGGTCGTCTATCCCAGCGCGCCAGGTAGATTTAAAGAAGAATTGCTGGTTGCGTTTAAGGCAACAAATGGCGCCCAATTCAAACTTGTCTGTTCTCTAGCGTTCCCCCGTTCTCTAGCGTGATTTCGAAGAGAACGGGGGTTATTTAACATCGGTTTTGGAAATTATAGCTTTACTGAACTTACTTAGAATTTTCGAGTGTAGATATTTTGGCCTTTGTATTGATATGATAATAGTTCAATAAAAACAGAAAAAATATTGCAGGCGGATGAATACTGGAAACATGGTGAGCTCATTTGGAATTGTATTCTTAATTTATTGTTAAACGAACAGTTCACAGTTAATTCAGGAAATGGCGAATACAAAATTTCCCGTGCAGCTTTTTTATTAAATATATAAATACATTTTAAAGACAATTTATCAATGAGTTTTTTTTAAATGTTGGTGAAATTTTTCATCACGTACCTACGTTTAAAAATAATTAATATCTCAATTATTTTGAACTTACAACTCTAAAAATCGTAGGGGAAACATTGTCGACTTTTTTTTTGTTAGAAATGGGAGACACGGAAAGCAGCTTGCATCGAAGAACAGTTATCTTATCATTTTACAAACATTAGGCATATTCACTCATTCAAATCAATGAAATGTATCTAAATCGTCGAGTGACAAACTTACATGATTTAGTTTTAAAATGTATCCATTATCAATAATTATCTTATTGATAATAGACAATAAATTTATTGTCGCCTTTAATAACGAATGTGATAATCTGAACCATCTGTGTAGTGATTCCATGACTTGTAGAGACTGCATACGCAAAAATCATTGTTGTGTTTGGTGCTACGATCAGGTATAATCAGTGATTATTATTATAATTACTAATCAGAGAATATAGAGAAGTCTTAAATCAAATGACGGTTGACGACTCCTCGATTTATGTTGGCAGCAGTGTTTGTTTCTAACTACGAATAAAATTAACTAGAAAAAATATAGGAGTAATATTTTTAACGACGCGTTTTACTTTCGACAAATTGACACTACATTTACCAGAATATTAAAAGCTGCTTATTGTTTCCTTCACTTTAGTTCAGGTCACCCGAATTACCATTTTAGTGAAACAAGGTTTTTATTGTTTATTGGCATCAACTATTTAAATGTGGCGCTTGGCTTTGGCGGTTGAGGAATCCAATGTTAATAAGGGTGATTTGGCAAAAATCATCCTGTATGTTGCATATATATTAATCTATGGTATAATATTATTATTATGGTATAGTATATTGTTAGAACTGAATTAAATCATGGTGTATTACACTCAAACTTAAAATAAACAAAAAAGTAAAAAGCCTCTAAAAATATATACAAAACGGTAAGAACATAAAAAACAAACAAAAAAATATTTGCAAGTTTCAGTTAAGTGTCTAGTAACCGTTATTAGTAAAATTGTCTACGAATCTAGATATACCCATAGGATGGCAGGGGTTTATGTTGCCAAATTTGAAGGAATGATAATTTACAACATTCAAAAACTTTATTAACATATTATCCTAACATACCGTTAAACCACAATCATTATTGTATGTGTCTTTGTTTGAGAGCCACTGTCCTTATTTCGAATTGGGCGTATACGTAAGGTGTGCACAAAATCAAATTTCTGTTAGAAACCATTGTTTCTTTTCTCGTTTATTCGTCATTACAAGGAAAATTAGTCGAAAGTTGTTTCGACAGAAGTTCCCTCGCTCCTAAATTACCACGAAACGATTCCACCATTTTCGAGTTGAGTTTTTTCTTTACACAATTTTATGATGACGTCATCAACATTTTTGCAAGGACACGTACATCAATTTTCTGGGAAAATGGAGTGAGCAGCTCCTGATATGGTCAATAAAATTAATTGAGTCATTCATTAATTTTTTTGAGTCACCTGCAAACTTAAAAAATATGAATGCGATGATAAATCACAAGTAAAAACTGTTTTATTTATTTGGCAAAATTTTGAAATGAAGTAATCAATTTTTTGGGAGGAACGAACAGATGATATATCTTGATCAACGATTTACCATGCTTTGAATAACTTTAAAACGGCTGCAAGATTTCAAAGCATTCAGTTTTTCTTGATTTAATCAATAAAATAAACTAACTCAGTCATTAATTTTTTTGAGATACCCTGTATAAGCAATTCTAAAAAATATGAATGCAATGATAAATTGCAAGTACAGACTGATCATATTTTGCACGTTTTAGATAGGATTTATTCGGCAAAATTTTTAGATGATCTCATCAATTTTTTGGGGTTGATACACACATTTTGATTAAAAATGCTTACAATAACGTCTGCAAGATTTCAAAGTATTCAATTTTGGAATTCTTGATTTAATCAATAAAATAAATTGACTAACTCATTAATTTTTCTAAGACAGGTATATGCAGAACTAAAAAATAATAAGACAGTGATAAATCACATTTAAGATTTATGTAGCAATATTTTGAGGTGACGTCATCAATTTTTTAGAGAGGATGAGCAAATGCATTTTGACCAAAAATTTACCATGCTTATGATAACTTTAAAACATTTCCAAGATTTCAAAGCATTCCGTTTTCCAGTTCCTGCTAAGTAATCTTAGACTAAATATTTGTTTTACGAAATCATACGTGTGAGTTTGTTTAGGTATATTTCGTGTTCACCGATAAGCAAATGAAACGGTAAATATTGTTATAGAGATTCCTGTAGATACATTTTTTTTGGATTCAATTAAGTATCATACTAATAATAATAGTAAACCATGAATTCATTGTTAAGCACACGGATAAATGCATTGTAAAACTACCTAATAATAACAGTATTATATTCTCACATTGCCGAGAAAATGGGTTGGGCCGCTTTTGATTTGATGCGAAAAGAAATTTGAATTTGCAAAACAAATCGCCATCTTACACATCCATGAAGCATGCTGACGTAGCTATGTATTATGTGGCAAAAAAAGAAAGATGCTTAAACAACAACAAATGTTATTATTCACAAAGCACAAGTATGGGAGTATAATATTTTTAATACATCAATTAATAGTATTGGTTAAATAAAAAACGGTTTTTATCATTTTCCTCAGTAAATCCAGATCTCAGTATTGATTTTATACAGAAATAGCTGTACTGATTTTGTTCCAGGGCGGGGAAATTTCTGTCTAAATAAATTTAAACCAAAATTTTCATATATTGGTGTATTCATTGCCCTCCGTTTTTTAGACTTCCTTCTATGGACGACGTCCTTGCCCTGCCAAGATTTTGTCTTCTTACAAATCTGAATATCTTCTTACAAGTAGTTTAAGGCACTTGGTTTTCGGTTTTTTTTCCATTTAGAAGACATTTTTCTGCTAATTAGCTCAAAATAAAAATTCGACAATTGGAAGTTGCACATATTTATCGGTAACACTTTATTTTTCTAGATTATTCTAGAAAGTTTGTTGTTAAACCCAAACGATATTTCTCCGGAGACTTGGAGCAGTTGTTTATCTCATAGTCTATGGATGTATTCCGTCTTTCGATATTAAATACTAAAATTAAATAATACCTAGTTATAAATTTGTGTGAGAAAGTGTTTCAAGTTTTCCTCATTTGATATTTAAACATTTCACATCACTCGGTCGTGACCATAAAAACCTTAATCTTATAAATTATAATCATTAGTATTTAGGCACTCACCTTTGTTTTCAGGATTTTGTAGGTAAGCGCTGCTTTGCAAAAGGCACATTACAGGATCAAAAATGTAACTCTAATGGGACCGAAAACAATGTTGCAACATCCGTGACTATTACAAAACAAAATTCGTTTGCTGACGTCAAAGAAGATGTAAATGGAGCAGTTCAGTTGAGTCCCCAAGAGTTTAACATATTTCTAAGACATGGTAATAAACAATATTCGAAATAATTTCTAAAAAACAATTAAAAACTTTTAGAGGAACCGATTAATCTCACTATAACCTATCGACCTGCCAAGAATTTTCCTTTAGATTTGTATTACTTGATGGACCTTACATGGTCAATGAAGCCTGATTTGGAGACTTTAAAAACATTAGGATCTAGCTTAACTACGCACCTCGAAAAGTTGACAAAAAATTACCACATTGCTTTTGGATCCTACATAGATAAACCAGAAGTGCCATACTATCTAACGGATCCCACAAATAGAGACAATCCATGCAATATAGACGGTGGAACATGTGAAAAAGGATATGTCTTCAAACATAGAATTAATTTCACGAATTATGTAAAGATGTTCATTGAAAAAGTTATAAAGTTTGCTTGTCATTTTAACATACTTACATCTAGTGTTTTAGGTTACTAAAAGTGATGTTTCTGCAAATTTAGACGACCTTGAAGGTGGATTGGATGCTCTTATGCAAATATTATTTTGTGGAAAAAAGCTGGGTTGGCGTACAAACTCGAGAAAATTAGTTTTAGTAGCAACAGAAGCAGGAATGCATCTTGCGGGCGACGGTATTCTTGGAGGTTACACAAAAAGAAATGAAAAAGGAAAATGTTTGGTTGATAATGACGGAAATTATGTGCTTTCGCAGTACTATGATTATCCGTCATTAGAAGAAGTGGATAAGCAACTTAAAGACAAAAAAACCAATTTGATCGTAGCTGCAAAGTCTCATATGTATTACTACTATAAAAGAATGGCAGACGTTTTGAAAGAAGCTATTTACGTTGGAGAACTTCAAATTAATTCCACCAATGTACTGAATTTGGTAGATGAAGGTTACTATTCTTTTATACGGAAAGTAAATCTCTTTACAACAGAAATAGATGGGTTAGAGGTAGACTTTTTTGCTGATTGCGATGGAAATGGCATTTGGAAAAAAAAACAAACTTGTACTAATGCAGAAGAAGGAAAGGAAATAAATTTCAAGGTTCAACTCATGTTAACAAAGTATCAGAACAAGGAATCTGTATGTATTTGCCTAAATTTAAATGAATGATTATTTTATTCTATCATGTTTAAGGACGTACTATATATAGAAGAAAGCAATATTCAGGAAAAAATAAAAATTAATTTAAACTATGTTGGATCAACATGCACTTGCCTGTATCTGGAACAAAAAGGGCAGAAAACATGTGACCATGGGGAATTTAATTGTGGTGACTGCCTGTGTGAAGAAGGGTGGTAGGTTTTTTGTTTAATTTTGAAAACACAATAAACTGAGAATGTAATGCCACGGAGATTATGGAAAATGCCTAAGTTTTCTTTTTTAGGACAGGAGACACTTGCTCCGAACAGTGTATTAACAATCAAAATATGTGCCGTTATGTGGATAATAATAATATAACATCATTGACGTGTTCTGGGCGGTATGTATCTGACTTTTTTAACTTTGACTGTAATAATAATAATACACAAGGTGTGTGGCGATGCGCCTGATGACGTGGAATTAGAAGGTTCGAGTGTCTGGTTGCACTTGTTGATGGTGGTCTGAAAGATCGAAACTTAATATTTAAAGCCATCTTTTTTATTCATTGTATTTTTGACGTGTAGTTTGGTATTGTACGTCACTATTTCCGCTGCTATCGTGTGTTGCCACTCTGCCATGGTCTCAGCTTCTGCTTGTATTCAAGGGTGATGGATGGGTCGGGTGGGTCAGCACCGGATTTGCTCAAATGGAACTGAATGTTTTTTTGACTTTCCTTTTTAAAAACACTAAAAGTACATCTAGAACTATTTGTGTACCTACGTAGTCAGTTATACATCCTATATCCAGTCTTATCGTGTGTAAACGGCTTTAAACTGGCTGAAAATTCCTTCAGTTACTTCCAAAAATTTAAGTGGTTATGGTATTTTAACGCCCATAGGAACAAGATGCAAAAATGTGTAGAGAATTCTGTTAAAGTAAAACTGAAGTTGGAGACGAATGTTGTTAAAACACCAAACTGTGTCTGGTGTTTTTTGACAATAAATTCCAAGAACCAGTATACAGTGCATCTTTTTTAAAAGGGGCAATAGGAATTCCCATCTTAAATTGTAGACCCCATGTTAACTTTTGTTAGGGTGAAAACCTTACTACTTTAATTTTCACTACCACTTTTTACATTAATTTATTAATTTGTGCTTTAAAAAATCAAAATTATTTTGACTAAAAAAAGTTTGGTACATCATAGACGGTTTTGACTTATCATTTTAACTTGTCATTTTTGACAGCATTATTTTGATTTAATCATTAAATACCTTTATTGCAGTTTTTAGAAAAGAAACAGAATGTCGGAATTCAAACATAAATGAAGATAATGAAAGATAATTTCACTGAAATTGCGTTTTTAATGTCCACGATCGAAAATGTATTTTATTGATTTAATCAGGAACTACAAAACCGAATGTTTTGAAATCTTGCAGATGTTTTAAGGTTATAAAGAGCATAATAAATGTTTAGTCAAAATATATTTGCTTATCCCCTCCAAAAAATTGATTACGTCAGCTCGAAAGTTTGCCGAATAAATCCTGTACAAAATATGGCGAGTCTGTACTTGTAATTTATCACTCCATTCATATTTTTTGGATTTGCATATACAGGGTGACTCAAAAAAATTAATGAATGTGTAAATTTATTTTATTGATTTACTCAGGAAATACAAAACCGAATACTTTGAAATCTTGAAGATGTTTTAAAGTTATCATAAGCATGGTAATTTTTGATCAAAATGCATTTGCTCATCCCCCTAAAAAATTTATGACGTCACCACAAAATTTTGATGAATAGATCCGATCTAAAATGTACAAAATATCATGAGTCTCTTCTTGTTATTTATCATTCCATTCATATTTTTTGGATTTGCATATACAGGATGACCCAAAAAAATTAATGAATGCGTAAATGTATTTTATTGATTTAATCAGGAACTACAGAACCGAATGTTTTGAAATCTTGCAGATGTTTTAAGGTTATAAAGAGCATAATAAATTTTTTGTCAAAATATATTTGGTTATTTTCTCCAAAAAACTGATGACGTCAGCTCAAAAGTTTGCCGAATAAATCCTATCTAGAATGTACAAAATATGATGAGTCTGTACTTGTAATTTATCATTCCATTCATATTATATGAATTTGCATATACCGGGTGACTCAAAAAAAAAAATGAATGTGGAAATTTATTTTATTGATTTACTCAGGAACTATAAAACCGAATGATTTGAAATCTACTGCGAAAAAAAAACATAATAGGCATGCAGTCGTCACGTTTCCGAAAGCGAGGGAAGTCCTACTGTCTAAACTCTTTAGACCAATTTTTTAGATTTGCTTAAGAGGTGGCTCAAAAAAATTAATGAAGTCAATTTATTTTATTGATTAAATTAAAGGCAACACTTATTATTAGTATTACATTGGACCAACCCAATTTGGTAGACACAAAATTTTGTAAAGTAAAAACTCGGTTGAAACATAGGGTAGCACGCTTATTTACATTTACTATAACATTACAGACTTGCATTTGTTTTGTGCGCTGACTAGGTTCCGCGAATGTGGTATAGACATGTTTATAATCAACCAATTGTGAATTCCACCGTCAAAAATTAAAATAAAACCCAACGTTTTATACTAATAAGCGGAAGTCGAAGCAATAAAAATTTCTAGACGACGATCGGTTTTGTTTACAGTTTCTTTGTTTGACTATGACGTATGTTATGTTACGCTTGTCGTCTTAAATTAAGAATGCTTATACATAAACGATTTTCATTTGCCTCTCCTAGTACACGCCGGCGCCGTATACATGAGTAAATTGTTTCGTTATTTTATTGATTATTACAAATCAATATTCAAAACGACCCAATTCATTTTCCCGAAAATTTGGAAATACAATAATTTTATTCTTAGTATTACACTACATCTATCCCAACTGATATACGTGTCCTTGCAAAAATGTTGATGACGTCATCGCAATTTTTTTTTAAATTCCCACTACAAAAATGTAATGAGAAAAAAATTGGTCTAAAGAGTTTAGACAGTACTTCCCTCGCTGTCGGAAACTTGACGACTGCATGCCTATTGTGTTTTTTTTTCTCATTACATTTTTGTAGTGGGAATTTAAAAAATAATTGCGATGACGTCATCAACATTTTTGCAAGGACACGTATATCATTTGGGATAGATGTAGTGTAATACTAAGAATAAAATTATTATATTCTCAAATTTTCGGGAAAATGAATTGGGTCGTTTTGAATATTGATTTGTAATAATCAATAAAATAACGAAACAATTTACTCACGTATACGTATCAGAGGCAACTGAAAATCGTGTGTGTATAAACATTCTTAATTTAAGATGACAGGCGTAACACCATACGTGAGAGTCAAACAGAGAAACTGTAAACAAAACGACCATCGGTTTTATTGCTTCGACTTCCGCTTATTATATAAAACATTGGGTTTTATTTTAATTCTTGACGGTGAAATTCACAATTGGTTGATTATAAACATGTCTATTTCACATTCGCGGAACCAAGTGAGCGCATAAAACAAATGCAGGTCTGTAATATTAAAGTCGATGTAAATAAGCGTGCTACCCTTATGTTTCAACCGAGTTTTTCCTTTAACAAATTTTGTGTCTACCAAATTGGGTTGGTTGGGGTGTAATACTAATAATAAGTGTTGCCTTTAATTTAATCAATAAAATAAATTGACTTCATTAATTTGTTTGAACCACCTCTTAAGAAAATCTAAAAAATATGAATGGAATGATAAATCACAAGTACAAACTCATCATATTTTTTGCATTTTAGATAGGATTTATTCAGCAAAATTTAAGGGTGACGTCATCAATTTTTTTAGGAGGGATGAACAAATACATTTTGAACAAAAGTTTACCATGCTTATAATAACTTTAAAATATCTCCAAGATTTCAAAGCATTCGGTTTTGTAATTCCTGCTTAAATCGATAAAATAAATTCACGCATTCATTAATTTTTTTGAGTCACCCTGCATATGCAAATCCAAAAATATGAATGGAATGATAAATCACAAGTACAGACTCATCATATTTTGTACATTTTAGATTCGATTTATTCGGCAAACTTTTGAGCTGACGTCATCAGTTTTTTGTAGAAGATAACCAAATATATTTTGACTAAAAATTTATTATGCTCTTTATAACCTTAAAACATCTGCAAGATTTCAAAGCATTCGGTTTTGTAGTTCCTGATTAAATCAATAAAATAAATTTACGCATTCATTAATTTTTTTGAGTCACCCTGTATATGCAAATCGAAAAAATTTGAATGGAATGATAAATCACAAGAAGAGACTCACCATATTTTGTACATTTTAGATAGGATTTTTCAGCAAAATTTTGTGGTGACATCATAAATTTTTTAGGGGGGACGACCAAATACGTTTTGATCAAACATTTACCATGCTTATGATAATTTTAAAATATCTTCAAGATTTCGAAGCATTCGGTTTTGTAGTTCCTGAGTAAATCAGTAAAATAAATTTACGCTTTCATTTATTTTCTTGAATCACCCTGTATATGCAAATCCAAAAAATATGAATGGAGTGATAGATCACAAGTACAGACTGATCATATTTTGTACATTTTAGATATGATTTATTCGGCAAATTTTCGAGCTGACGTCATCAAGTTTTTGGAGGGGATAAGCAAATATATTTTGACTAAACATTTATTATGCTCTTTATAACCTTAAAACATCTGCAAGATGTCAGAGCATTCCGTTTTGTAGTTCCTGATTAAATCAATAAAATATATTTACGCATTCATTAATTTTTTTGAGTCACTCTGTATATGCAAATCCAAAAAATATGAATGGAGTGATAAATGACAAGTACAGGCTCATCATATTTTGTACATTTTAGATATGATTTATTCGGCAAACTTTCGAGCTGACGTCATCAAGTTTTTGGAGGGGATAAGCAAATATATTTTGACTAAACATTTATTATGCTCTTTATGACCTTAAAACATCCGCAAGATTTCAGAGCATTCGGTTTTGTAGTTCCTGATTAAATCAATAAAATATATTTACGCATTCATTAATTTTTTTGAGTCACCCTGTATATGCAAATCCAAAAAATATGAATGGAGTGATAGATCACAAGTACAGACTCATCATATTTTGTACATTTTAGATATGATTTATTCCACAAACTTTCGAGCTGACGTCATCAAGTTTTTGGAGGGGATAAGCAAATATATTTTGACTAAACATTTATTATGCTCTTTATGACCTTAAAACATCTGCAAGATTTCAGAGCATTCGGTTTTGTAGTGCCTGATTAAATCAATAAAATATATTTACGCATTCATTAATTTTTTTGAGTCACCCTGTATATGCAAATCCAAAAAATATG